AAATTCCTTGTGTGTTTGCACACACTTGGCGAATAAAGCTCATTCCGATTCTGATCAGTCTGTAATGCAAGTGTGCACCGCATGATCTCAAGTTAAAATACTAAAAAACAAATATTAGGCTACTAATGGAAATGAAAATTGAATAGCCCAAGGACAAAGACCTGCATGCAGTGCAGTCCTCTCGACACACGGCTTCTAAATTGTCCCTGATCAATAAGACAATATATGAGAAAGATTGATGCTCCCATTGGAAACCGAAACATCTCCACTCAATTCAGTGTCACAAATGCTGCACACAAGGCATTGTTCTCTTCAGGTTGTTCTGCTATGAGAGCCTGTCTATAGGCTACCTTGTTTTTACTGCCAACCTGTCTGAACTTGTTTTTAGCACAGCAGTGTAAAGAGAGCCTTTTGTGAGGGCCACTAAAAAACAAATGAGAACCTCCACAATGGATCAAGATTCTTTAGTATTGTGTTGCATTTTGTTTTGTGGTTTTGTAATGGAAAGCTGTAATCTTGAAAGGAAATGGATGTCCTTTTTCATACAGTTAGTTAACGACAGAAGTGGGTCAGTTATATTTTTGTCACATTTTAATCACATTTTAATTTTGTGTAATTTACTTAAATCTTAAACACACACACACACACACACTCTCTCTATCGTGTATCTCAATTCAACGATCTCTGAAAATGTGGGCCAGTTGTATACACTAACAATTTTAGCAATTTTAAATGACTAAAAGTTAAAAGCATGGAAACTAAAATGTAATAATAGTTTTAAGTTTTAAAATTTTAATTAAAACTTAAACTATTTATGGATTTATGTCTGTGTTTGTTTGTTTATTGAGCAAGCAGAAATGATGCTGTATAAACACTGAATATTAATGAGCATTACCCTAATTTCATTTGTAACAAACAAAAGGAACACATAAACACAATGAAAACAAACAAACACCTGTACATAAGCAAAATTAATATATGAAAAAAAATGTATATACTGTATATATATATATATATACAAAATCCTAAACAGACGTGATTTAAAAGATATATTAATTATAAACGAACAAATAAACAAACAAACAAATAAAAATGGACGAAAAAGAAGAAAAGCAGATTAACCCCAGATTGCACAGGTACGTCTGCAAGATGTCTGTTAAATATCTCTTCATCTGGAAAGCATCTGCTGTGTACAAACATCTGACAGACGTCTTTAAGATGTCAGTTTTACATAGATCTTAAAGACATCTTCTAAACGTCTATTTGACATCTGATAGGAAACGTCTGTATTGCAGATGAGCAAACACTCTAAAAATATAAGGGACCTTATCAATCACATCCGATAGCATCACGTACATCACGGAGACGTCTGCGTTTACATCTGTAATACGTCTATACGACATTTCCTATCATATGTCAAATAGACGTTTAGAAGATGTCTTTAAAATGTTTATGATTTAGAATGTATGTAAATATTTCAGTTTTTCTTTTTTAATAAATCTGCAAAAATGTCAACAACTCTGTGTTTTTCTGTCAATATGGGGTGCTGTGTGTACATTAATGAGGAAAAAAAAATTCACTTTAATGATTTTAGCAAATGGCTGCAATATAACAAAGAGTGAAAAATTTAAGGGGGTCTGAATACTTTCCATACCCACTGTATATATATATATATATATATATATTCCACAGACTTTGTGGAAGCGTCAGTGTAATAGAATAGAATATCTTTTAAATGGAAGGATCGGGCAACAGCAGTGGGTTTGACTGAAGAAGGGGTCGGTGTTGACTGGAGTTCAGGCCAAACCTATGATGACGTCAGGGGAGGAAATGGAACATGGAGCCCGGGGTCCGGAGCAGAACAGCACGCTCCGCGCTGGACGCGTTCTGACCGTCTGCACGGATCGCACTCTGTCTGGGGCTCTGCGTTACACGTTCCGCTTGGATCCTTCGAAAAGCGTCTTTACTGTCGCGGTCGGCAGCAGCATTGAAGCCTATGTGGAACAGTCGCAAAGTGAAAACCAACTTTACGCGTTCAGTTTCTCAAGAATGCTTTTATTGTTGGGCACGCGGATATTTCGCGTTTTTATGGAATCGTAGAAGAGCAACGCTTTCGCTTTCCTTTGGAGGCCAAATGTGCGATGAGATGAGCGCAGAGGAAAAGTTTTTTTGTGATCAGATTTCCTTGAGTTTGTGAGACTGTTATCTTGGGATGGTTGCAGCTGTCTCTTGGTGGAGGAGCGAGGTCTCTCCACTTCGACTGAAACAAAGCAAATGTAGCGACTTAAAGTGGAGCGCCTTCGCGTAAAAGAGCGGAAACTTGCAACAGATCAACTGGAGAGGGCTTGTAGAGTTGTAAAATGAATCTTATGGAAAACAAAAGAGGATATTCGACCGCTGCTTAATGTGCAGAGCACAAAACCATGATAAATCGACCCATCTAATGTTGCGTCGAGTCAATATTTTGACCATGACTTAAAAGGAGTGCTGACTTGCGTCTCTGCTTGATGGCTTTTGACGAATTTGCGTCGTGTTTAGATATAAACAACAACAACAAAAGGCTTTCTGGGCTATTTATATGCTAATCTAACCCCCTCTTCTTGCCGTGTGAATCTCAGCGAAGGCAGGAGGGATGTCGCTGGGCGCTTCTTGCGTCTTTTTACTGGCTTTCGTGCTGCTCAGGAGCTCGAGCTCTGCAGGATCCACTGAATGTAAATCATACGATGAACGCTCCAGAAGTGCGGGGAAAAGCTCTCCGTCTGGGGCCACGCTGGACAGAAAAGTGGTCTGCAGTAACATGGAGCTCCATCAGGTGCCTTCACCCGAATCATTTCCCAACAGAACAGTCTCACTGTAAGTCAACACTTATTTACAGTGCATTAACCATTTTAACATTGTCCTATATCTCAGAAATGCCCTTTAACAGTCATCACAGGGGTCATCCTGCAATTTGTTGCCTTCTGGTCCTTCTGGAATAAGGTTTGAAAGGCAGAACCTAGTTTTTAAGTAAGTTTTTAGGTAATACAGATCAAGCTAAATGACTTATATTATTCACACATATTACCCTTATGTTGTGTGTGTGTGTATATATATATATATATATATATATACATCAATTTAAAATGGAGTAGAACTTAGACACACACTATTAAAGGGATAGTTCCCACAAAAATTAAAATTACCTCATGGTTTACTCACCCTCAAGCTATTCTAGGTGTGTATGACTTTCTTCTTTCAGACTAATCCAGTCAAGAGTTATATTAAAAAATGTCCTGGCTGTTCCAAGCTTTATAATGGCAGTGAGTGGGTGTTATTTTTCAATAGTCCAAAAGAAGTCCAATAAAGCGCATCCAGTCATCATAAAAAGTGCTCCACATGGCTCCGGGGGTGAATAAAGGCCTCCTAAAGCGAATCAATGCGTTTTTGTAAGAAAAATATCCATATTTAAAACTTTATAAACCTTAATCTCTAGTTGTTATTTTTCAATAGTCCAAAAGAAGTCCAATAAAGCGCATCCAGTCATCATAAAAAGTGCTCCACATGGCTCCGGGGGTGAATAAAGGCCTCCTAAAGCGAATCAATGCGTTTTTGTAAGAAAAATATCCATATTTAAAACTTTATAAACCTTAATCTCTAGTTGGGATGTAACGGTATGAAAATTTCATATCACGATTATAGTGACCAAAGTTATCACGGTTATCAATATTATCACGGTTTTGTTAAAATTAGATGAAAATGTTCAAAAAGAACTGATTCACACTGAAAACATTTCAATAAGTTGTATATTTGAAAATCAACAAACAACAAATACAATTAGCAGCTATATGCACTTTTTTTTAGCATAAACATTAAATTAACATTAACATGAAGCCCTAATAATAATAGTAATAATAATAATAAATCACTATATAATAATATATACACACACAAAATATATATATATACAAAAAAAAAAAATATATATATATATACATACAATGTGATTTCCGTTAGTGATCATGTGATCTTCGGTTAGGAGATCTTGTGATGCTTTTTAAAGCAAAGTTGGGGTTGATTTCGAGTTCACATACAAACATAAATAGAATAGGCTAATTAAATTTGTCTATTTTAATGTAAGACAGCATATTTTTCGTCAGTGATAGAAATATGATTTAAGACGGTAGTGTAAGCAAGTTTAGTTTGAAAACATTTATTTAATTGTAAATAATAAATTTATTTGATTGTTTTGTATTTATATATAATTATAGGTAAGCAAAAAAAATCTGTGTAATAAGGTAACTATGAATATACAATACATTATCCCTTAAATGTCAACCTTATAGTTTGAACGTTCGTTCGTCTTGGCTCAAAGCCACTTGCTGCAAACTTTTCTTCGCGGAAGCTTTGCGTTAATTACAAGTGAGATAACGAAATATTTCATCTCTAATCAATATTTTTTTGTCCAATTGTTTGCCCAGTTAGTTTTGGTATTGAGGTAAAGTTTACCTTGCATTCGCTATATAACAGTGGGCGGTGGTCACGAAGATGACTGAGCAAATTTGATGCGTTTACTTCTTGCAAGATCAGCAGACAGGGTGACCGTCCTCGATTAAATTGCCTTCAGGACTCTTGTAAAAGCCAAAATACGACAAGACCACCGATTTGGTCCTCTTAGATGGCTGAAAAATCTCCCGAGCGCTGTCGGTAAGATTTCAAAACATTAATCTCAATTCAATATTTAATATCCCTGTATTTATATATTATTATAGGTAAAAAAAAAAAAAAATCTGTGTAATAAGTTAACTATGAATATATAATACATTATCCCTTAAATGTCAACCTTATAGTTTGAACGTTCGTTCGTCTTGGCTCAAAGCCACTTGCTGCAAACTTTTCTTCGCGGAAGCTTTGCGTTAATTACAAGTGAGATAACGAAATATTTCATCTCTAATCAATATTTTTTTGTCCAATTGTTTGCCCAGTTAGTTTTGGTATTGAGGTAAAGTTTACCTTGCATTCGCTATATAACAGTGGGCGGTGGTCACGAAGATGACTGAGCAAATTTGATGCGTTTACTTCTTGCAAGATCAGCAGACAGGGTGACCGTCCTCGATTAAATTGCCTTCAGGACTCTTGTAAAAGCGAAAATATGACCAAACCACCGATTTGGTCCTCTTAGATGGCTGAAAAATCTCCAGAGCGCTGTCACTGCCTTCCGCCATCTCGTCTCGTGCAAAAAAACTAAATTGCATGCTGCTTCTGCGTCAGACTGATGCTGGCTGGACAAGATTTATCGTGAGTTTTAAAAATCGCGATAATCAAATACGGTTTTGATGATAATTAAATTTTAAACGATAATACTAATCGTCAGGGCATTTTATCGTGATTTATCGTGAAACCGGTAATCGTTCCATCCCTAATCTCTAGCTTCCGCTAACTGTACGCACGTTCATTCTGGCGGATGGCATAGGGCGCACAGCGTAAGGTCCGGTGAGAAGTGACGAATGCGGAAGCGCAGCGGAGAGAGCAAAACAAAACACTGGTCACGAATTAGAAGTACAAAACGAAGATTTGTAAAGAAAAATGCCAGAGGATTTCGATATAAGCCAAGAGGAGGCTTTCCTTTGCTAAAGTACGGAAACTTTGTTTCCTTTGCTCCTGTAAACAAACGACGGTTGTCGCGAGACTAGCATATTCTCACCGAACCTGACGCTACGCCTACGTCATCTTTTACGCCTACGATTTTTTCTTACAAAAACACATTGATTCACTTCAGGAGGCCTTTATTCACCCCCCCCCCCCCCGGGGCTGTGGCGGGCACTTTTTTTTTTGGTTGGTGGGGCTTTTTT